CTAAAACCCTAAAACCCTAAACTCAAGCCAGGTTGCATCTGGCTGCACGGCCTGCTCCTCGACCATGTTCTCCAGTATGGCCACGGACAAGGCCCACTTCTCTCCTGATCTAGGGTTTAGGGTTTAGGGCTTCAGGGGTTTAGGGTTTAGGGATTTAGGGTTAAGGGTTAAGGGTTTAGGGTTTAGGGGTTAGGGTTTAGGGATGGTGAGCGGGCCTTCTGAAACCTCTATAGCATAAAGGCTTAGGAAGACAAGCAACAACCTTACCCACGGTTTAGAAGATTCTGTCAAAAGTCCCTTCTCGCACGCGCTGATCGTGGCATTGAAGGTAATCGCTGAGGGCCGGATGTCCGCCAAGGGCATCCTCATGTTTTTGGCGGGTGAGGAGGGTCCCAGATTACAGTTGCAGGCTTCCCCACGATATGGCACTTGTGAGGAGATCGTCATTCAACAATCCTAGTCTTCTCCTAAACCTACGCGAACCTTGCAAATCCAAAAAACATGATGATGCAGTTGCTGCGGACGCACACATCAAGATCTCCAGCGATTTCCGATCATCAAGCTTCTAACAGAAGGAGTATTGGTGGGCACGGATGGACATGACAAACGTGAAGCGAGGCATGGCAGTGCGACGATATGATTAAAACTCTGAACGCAACGCTTGAGTAATCCTGGAGCCCGGTTTGAAGTGTGACATGGACAGTATCACTGAGCTCCACGATCATACTCGTTCGGCAGACAAAGGACGTGTACATTCAAGGCTGTGCGCTGCAATGCTGCCGAAGGCTCTCAGTCAACATTTTCGTGGCCAGCTGCCATTGGAAGCCTCACCGCATAAAGGTTATCATGGCCAACCTACATCTTCGGGGTGCAGGTCATAAAGTCAAAGACACTTAGATCTCATGTGTGTTATCCTTGTCTCTGATCTTCCAATCGCCCTGATGTTGGAAACCGCCCATGAATGCCACGCCTTTCTCGAGAGCACTGATGACGGAATTGAAAGAGATGGCATCCGGTCCCAGCAGGCGCTGCCCCAATGTTCGGAAGATTTCCAAGGCAAGCCTCCACTGGCCACCCTGGCCACGGGTCTTTCAAGGTATTCGGGGCTCGGGACGCAATCACGTGATTCTCGTGCTTTCTTTAACAAATGGCATGCTGGGCTCAAGCATCGACCGGTGCCCCGGGAGGATGGCAGCATGTTTGTGACTGTGCTGCGGGGTTTTTGCAATGCAGTCATTCAGGGCACGTATAGCAACAGTCTCAACAATCCCTACGATGCCTCTCCGGAAATCTGTAATAACTATGGTCATTAACTTCGTGCCATCAAGACCTGTATGTCAACCTTCTTCCATCAAACAACATGGTCCAAGAAGTTTTACCCCTTGCACCGGTAAATCTTTCGACACGTACGATGGTCTCAACATGAAGCTTTGTGGTTTCCACTTTCAATACGAAACGTCAAGAAGAGACTTAAGCTGCCAAGAAATACAATCGAATCTAGTCTGTGATCGATCCACACGTTTGCCTGGAAACATGTTCATGTTCCGCATCCATAATGTGCTAGTAGTATGCAGTGACACACGGCGGGGGAAATCCAAAAATGTATAAATCATCGTCTGATTTCTTCGGCATTTTCAGTTTGTGTGGGGAAACGTTTGGTTGACAGCGCCTGAACGCAGTGGGATCGACACGTAGAGTACACATGTATATCAGTGGTTGCAATCTTTATCCAGCTTATGAGCTTTGTACACTATACGGTATCATCATGCTGCTAAGTATTGACTGTGGCTGTGGCAATGTACGAATATTCGTCTCTTGCAAGTTGCCACGATGTTGCCAACACAAGCAGTGGAACATGTTTTGGCAAACACCCAATGACCTAATGTGGACACAACAGTTTCCACGGCTGAGCGCTTCTACAGCTGCGCTCGATGACGCACGGCCGCAGGCTGCGAAGACGTGCTCTTTCGGCAAGATGGCACTTTTTCGCGGGGAACACGATGGAAGACTGATTTTCTGGCGTGGTAGAGTTAACCATGTCCCCCTGTCAAAAGAGTTCGGAGACCCTGGACAAGCCGGAACTTAGGACTGCTGGCACTGTACTTGGCGGGCCTGTACTTTGTATTGCTGCGTAAGGACCGGTGGTTGCAAGTGGAGAGGACCCACATCATTCGAGCCGATGAAGACTCTGCAGCGTGATGCGTGGTGAGTGCTCTGAAAGCCTTCGCAGCAAATGAGCGTCCAGCATCTCTTGGCGAAAGGGGTCTATATGAGCCCAGTAGAACCGGCAACGCACAGAACCGTGGAACGAGAAAAAACGCAGAGCCTTCCGCAGACATGGATGGCTGGGGCTGATGTCTGGCTATCCAATCTCGTGCTGCAGTGTCGGGAAGGCGAGGCACGGAAGATCAATGCTCGTCATGGCTTGACTCAGCCACAAACCGTTTTTTCGAATTTCGGCCTCAATAGACTGCGGCTGCAGCAGAGCAATTGTACTATTACACGCAGTTCAGGGGTTTGTGTCACACGGCTCAAAGTCCACCGTGATTGACGGTGTCAAGCTTCAGTATGGGCAGTCTCGCCGCATGAAAACCCACCACATCCCTCTGGCCTTCTCCAGGGTGCTCAGCGTGGCGTTGTAGCCCAAGACATCAGCAAGCAGACGCTGCTCTTCCATGCGTTCCCTCGGCTCTCGCTTGGGCACGTTTCTTCGAACAGGCTTATGGACAAAGGGAGATAGCAGCATCATGTAGGCTGCAACTTTTCGGTTTTGTTTTGTGCTTTTTGGTGTGCAGTGGGGGCAAGCAAGCTTGCAAGTCAGCATGTTGTTCAGAGCATTCTTCAATGCCTGGGGAAGAAGGGCAAAATCCCAATTAAAAATCAGCTTAAAGATGTGGAGGTTGTCCAGGCTGTTCTGAAGTCGTGCGGCGATTTGTGGTTTTGGCGGGGAGTTTAAGCAAGGAGTTACGGCACGAGTATGGCCTGTAAACCCGAGACACGCCTCCAAAGCCTCCCCTATTGTCCTGTGCTGCATGCTGCTTGGCCTAAGCTGCTTGGCTTCAGCAAGGCACACGCGTTTCTATGCTCCATGGTGTCTCGCATCATGCTAACAGCTAACAGCGGCAGCTGGATTCCAAAACTCTGTCAAATCCCATGCCACTCTGAACTATAGCCCCGGCGAGACAGTTACTCGCACCCTAATACAAGCAGAGCTGCTGCAACAGCAAGGACCGTGGCCAAAACTCGCAGGCACTGATGGTGGCGTTCCAGCACACCGCGCTCCGGGACCTCGTCTGACGTGGTCCAAAGTTTCGGATAGGTTAAGAGAAAGACAAAGATAAAGACAAAATCACAGAGATAAATGTAAAGACAAGATAAGATGAGATTAGATGGGAGAGGATAAAATAAGATAAAATGAGATTAGATGATGAAGGATGAGATAAGACAAGCTATAAGATGAAATAAGGTAGGATAAGATGAGATGGCATAAGATGGGATAAGGCGAGATAGCTGAGATGAAACATATGTACATACATACATACATACATACATACATACATACATACTTACATACATACATACATACATACATACATACATACATACGAGTACATACATACATACATACATACATACAACATGCATACGTACATACATACGTACATACATACATTCATACATACATACATACATACATACATACATACATACACACACACACATACACACTTGTTGGCTTACCTATGTTTCTATGCGTATTCATGCTCATAATTATCTGTACATGTATGTGTGTAAATACATATATATATATATACACATATATATATATATGAATATGTATAATAGCAATAACAATATTAGCATTCACAATACATAAGAGTGGCTGCATGGCACCATGGGCTCCAACCTTTGTAAAGCTGAAAACCCGGCAACTCCCGAATGAGACCAAGAGAGGTTCTTCGAACCCGCCAAACCCTAACCGTTTCTCGGTTTCTGCCTACGAAGTCATAAACTCTACTCCCAATTCCCATAAGCCACAGACGACGGTCTGGGACGCGAACGCCACCGCGTTGTCAGAGAGCGTCGAAAGCGCCAGCTGCCAGCGTCGGCCGTAACCGCAGGCCGTAATGAAGGCCTGGTTCTAGGATTTTGCAGAAAGACGAACGAAGTCCGAAGTTGCTGCGACTTTGCTGGGTCCATCGGTACATCACCTGTGCCGCAGCACGCTTTGAGGTAGACACGGACAACGACTGATCAAGATTCACCTGTTCATGATTTTTAAGGTGCATCAATATTTTGGCAGAGGCTCTTTCTACTTTACACAAAAAACTCTACACATACTCAGTATTATTGCGACTCATTAATGCTTGACCGTTGGCCAGCGCAGTGGGCTCCATTGCGACTCGAGGCCTCTAGAGTCTTAGGCATACGTGAAGCCTTCAAGTCGTACCATGGCGCCGATCACCCCTAAGAAAGCTTGCGGGAGAGCAAAAATCTGATTGAAACCTCAGCTCCGTACACCACCTGCTGAGCCTGTATGCAACTGAACCCTGGAGCCCCACTGTGCCACAGCTTGCATGAAGTCCGATCCCGATTGGTTCCCTTAAGCAAGAGCTCCTGATCAGGCAGAGTAAACGCTGAAGATCCTTAAACACATACCGCATACCCCAAGCATCCCCAAGCTTTTTGAACCCCATAAGCCCCAGACTGAAACAACAAATCGGCAAAGGTACGCTGCAGGTGATTGCGCTGGCCGGCTTTGCGCAAAGGGCCAAAGCCTCCGCTAATTTCGTTCGAGGCTTGCAGTGGAGGTGTTGGGCTTGGCGGTTTACGCTTTGGGGTTTTCGTCATTCGGAGACAGGATGCCGGCGTCCAGCTGCTGGAATGTAACAACAAACTTGCAGGGAGCAGGATAAATTTGTTCGGCCGTTTGGGCTTCGGGCGGTTTAGGATTGAGGGGTTTCCAATTTAGCATTCAAGTTTCAGGGCTTGGGGCGGTACTCTGAGTTCAGGGGTATTGACTGGTACGATCGTTGGCTGAGGGCCAAACTTTGCAAGCTTGGCCCCGGGAATAATAAACCCCAAGCCGAGACCCTTCACCAAGCTAGTGTTTTGCAGTTGAGGCTGATGTGTGGTCTCTTGCTGCGCCTCCCGGGCTACACCAAATTGGCGGGACAGAAGACATCTGAAGCGACACCTGCAAACGCTACGTGAAAGAAAACTTCAATCCATGTAGAGCCCCATAAAGTTGAATGGCAGGAAGCCGTCTTCCAGCGTCGCGCGCGGGCACAAGCCTCAGATACTAACTTTCCTGCATCAAGATATCAGGTATCATGCTAGACCCTAAACCTGATTAGGATAAAATGTGTAGACGCGACTTTATTGTCGTTAATACTGGTTATAGCTGGTTACGTGCAGATGCAGGTGAGAGGCATTAACTGCCAAAGCCACCGAGACGTCATCCTGCTCTGTTTGGGGCTTAGGGCTGCTTACCTGATGTGTTGTGAGTTTTGTCTACATGCAGTCAACAACTGGACAACCTGCAACATTGCTTGCGTTGAGGACTCTTGTTTTATCCGGTACACATATTGGCTTAAAGAGAGAGAGAGAGAGAAAGAAAGAAAGAAAGAAAGAAAGAAAGAAAGAAAGAAAGAAAGAAAGAAAGAAAGAAAGAAAGAAAGAAAGAAAGAAAGAAAGAGAGTGAGAGAGAGAGAGATAGACAGACAGAATGAAACTAGCGCTTTTGCTGGAATGGTACAGTACGTCCGTTGTGTTGGGCCACGGACGACGCGGCAAACGGCTTTACGGGACACAAGGGTCTTCTTGAATCCAACAGGGCGACCCTTAAACTCTGACTTCTGGCTGAGACCATGCACACGATTCTTCTTTGGCCCAGACGTGGGCCATGAAGCTGCCATATTGGGGTTCGATTGAGGTTGTGCCAGTACAGTAGACGGATCTTCTTGATAAACCGTAAGAAGATGCAACGAGAGGCCAGGGCATGAGACTTGCAGTTTGACAACTAATCCGAGGCCTCAACGGGAGCCTGCCCACAAGAAGCACAAGAGAACTCATCAACCCTTCCCAAACCCTGTAGCCGGTCAAGCTCGGAGCCCGAAATCCCAGCAACTGCACGAGTGATGGCTTTCCTCAATTCCGAGACCTAACTTCCCGAGACCAGAAGGTCCTTAGCCACCCGCGCTCGTGCCATGCCAGCGAGCAGGCCCAAAACAGCATCCCAGGCTGACGACGACTCCTGACAAATTCAGGGTCTAAGGCTTATCGATTTTAGGTACAGGCCATGAAAGACTTGTATTTGGACAACTTTAGGGGTTTTTCAATGTGCCGATTTTAGTGGGGCTCGCGGGCATCACGGTGCTACGGCGCGGGGATTGCGTCTGGAGCTTTAGAGCTGAAGCTTTAGAAGCGCTACAGGGTTTTTAGGATGCAAGGCCTGGTGCTGGCTTGGCCCGAGCTTCGGGATTCCGGTGAAGGACTTTCGGGTGCTGCGAGTGTCAACATGGCTTCAGGGACCATGTGCAGATTCAAAGCCTAAGCTAGGCGTGGAGAAAGCTTTCGACTGCAAATGCTTCGGCAAGGTACTAGTACTTCTGGGTTCTGCTTACCAGGTTTAGGGTCTAAAGGTGCCGATTAAGGAAGACAAGCCTGAGTGAGGGCTTCCATGTGACTTGCGAGTTTCGCGCTTCGACCGCTTTGGATGGGTTTGGGGTACCAGAACTTAAGGGGATGACTGTGAAATACGCGGCACAAACGGGCCTTGCAAACGTGGAGGCGTAGTTTAGGGTTCAGGGCTTTAGGGTTTATGGTCGAGGATGGGTTTAGCGGCATAGTCGACTCAGACTTCGCTTCACAGGGAAGGGCTGACCCTTTTCCTACGTCTTTTCTTTCACCGCTCACAGAGGAACCTCCCCTACCGAGATCCATAAGGAACTTCACCCGCTTGGTTCAGGCCGGAATGGGAGTGAAGGCGTCTCTGAAATCTGGGATCCAGGCTGGCCTAGGGCCAAGGGTTGCCGTCCAAGCTTCACATGCTCCCGCCGCGGCGTTGAAGGCCACAACATCGGGCAACAGCCTCGGCATACAGCTTGATCATGAAGGCTGAGGCGGATACCGTTCTTGTGAAGATTAGACGCAGGTCGGGGTTGATTTAGCGAATCTGGCCGTCATGTCTGCTAGCAGCTGGTAGCCCTGGAAAGAGTGTCAGGACCACTCGTGATCAAGAATTGAAAGCCAGATCCACGTCTCAGCGTTCACTTCCAACGAAGGTTGATAAGACCCAAGTTTTGTCTATCAGCATCAGCCGTCCAGAGCACAGTCAAGGACTTGCGTGCAGCAAACCTCTGAGGCTTGAGAAGGGAGAAGGGCCTCGGAGAACCGGTGCCTTCATAATTAGTTTAGGGTTTAAGGTTTAGGGTTTAGGGTTTAGGGGCCCATTAATTATGGTGCCAAACCGAAGCAAAACCCGCGAAAAGCGTTCCTGGAGCTCCTCTCCTGCCAGGGCACTGTGTCTGCATCCTCGGCTTTTCTGGGTTGCGAGGGTTTAGGAGCGGTTGGAGTGCAGTCATCCATGTGGTATCTTCCATCGCAAGAGCACGAGCATTTGTTCCAAGCTCGCAGGAGTCTGGGTCTAGAATTGGGGACAGGGTAGCGCTTGATACAGCAAAGCTGCTCTTAACGGCCGTTCTTGGGCTGTTACAACGGGCCTCTCGTGGCTGGAGCTTTGGAGTAAAGTGTCAGTGCGCAACGCAATGCATCAGTTCTGCAGTCGCCATCTGTCGAACGCGTCTAACACCACCAGCTCGTTAGAGTCTCTGTCAGAATAATGTTTACGCAAGGCCGTGCGATGCTAAAACATGTGCAGCAAGAAACGCATCAGACAACTGCAAATAACTGCCCGACTCTGAATACGAACCATGATCCCGATCGTCTCCGAAAGTCTCAGAGGCAAAAGCCAAGACTAATTGTTTGTTGGCTTTCTCTCAGTTGCCAACAGCAAACTGCAAAACTACCGTTGGGGTCAGATTCCGGGGCCCAAGACCCTCTGTTTGACTATTCTCACCGCACTCACCGAAGCGAGCACTAAAACCACAAACGGGGACTTTGGCTGTGCTATCTGGGCCGCAAAGCTGCAAGCCTTAATTGCCGCCAACTCAGTCGGAGGCACATATCTGCAACGAGCTGCAAGGCCACGACCCACTCAGCCTGTCTATCCGTCGCATTGGAAAATGTGCTGCACGATATGTGTGAATCAGTGCATTCATGTAGATATGAGGTGACGACTTTCTTGTCGATGTGACAAACGTCTTGCAGGCTCCCGTCTATCGGGTCTGCCGGCACAACCCCATGACATGTGCCGAAACCTGCAGTGGTATAGGTTGACTGCGAATGCATTGAACCACCGCTTGACAGGCACCAGGATTTGAAACCTATAGATGTCGTTACTTCCCGACATGTGGGGCTTACAAACCGTTGCTAAGCTTGAGGTAGGCCGAACTCTAATCCCAAACCACCGAGCCTAACCACAAATACGGTTTAGGATGCAGGTTCTGGGTGGAGGATCCACACCTCCTGCCATAAACAAGCACAAGAACTCACAATGCTTGGCCTCCTAGATCAGGGACTTTGGGTGGTCTCAGGTTTGGGCCTAGTCCACCTAACTCTTCAACTAAAGACAGCCAGCAAGCCTTGGAAGCCCATCGTGGCCGCTCAACGAATGCATATCTCGTAATGCCGCCAACGAGCAGCACAGACTCCGTATATAAGATACACGCATACATATCTTTGTACTGAAACGTACTGGTCCTGGAATGTACTATAGCATCTATAAACATGTTCTAAAAAAACATACGACTCTATATGACCTCGCGTTGTCTCATGTTGTCTGATACGTCTATATAGAAAGAAACAGAATACAACATAACACAACATAGCATAAGATAATATGGTGTGCGGATACATGTATATATATATATACAAGGCGATACGATACGATACTATAGTATGCTCCGCGGTCGGGTACTATACTATAGCATAATAGAATAGAGTCTAATCGAGTATGATATGCCATGGTAAGATTTAATGTGGTATGTTGCAATACCACATGGTATGACATAATACAACAGAATATAATAACAAGCAAGCACGTAGCATGGTACGGCAGATTGATACTATGACATAACCTAGAGTACAAAAACATAATGCCGAATACTGCAATGCAACATAATACATTCGGATGTGATGTAGCGTAAAGTAAGGTAATATACAGCAGGTATAATACAATATAATATGATGCAATGAGGTATGTCACGTCCTTTCATATGTCTGAAATAACCCAACGTAGTTTCAAGTACGAAAGTAGAATCTAATATCTTCGAATGGGACAGGTAAGAAAAACTTGGCTAGACTAGAACTAGAACAGAACAAAGAAGATAAAGCATAATCTATTGGTATACAAAGTAGTTTATTAGAATAGACTATCAAACGCTAGATCATCTTATGATGTATTGGCAGATGGTACAATTTGTGAGAAAATCATGAAAGGGTATGATATATCGAAGTATGTTACCACAGTCTATAGAAGCTCTATTCTGATGGGCTACAGTAATTACAGTATTGGATAAACGAGTATAAATCAGAAAATGAAGAATGCTACAACTTATTACAGCATATAAGAGCAATGGATTTTGAAAGTACGCCTTGTAAGAAAGCAAAAGAATACATGATACGAAATATATAAAACTTGATGCAACGTCACTTACAATAATCTTTTCATAAGGAAAATGTTACAACATAATATGCCAAAACGTACAATCAAATTATCTGTTGTAATATACTGGAAAGCTACTGTGGTGTGACATATAACGCTTTGAAATACGATACAATATAACTTCACATGACATAAAACGATATGGTATGGAGAGATATGAGAAGATATGCTAAGACAGTATAGAGTATATACTATGAAACAACCGAACAAGTAACAACACGACTTTCCATAAACCTAACAAAACATGGTAGAACACAGACAGATTATAATATCCTCGAAAAGAAATTATGCAAAGCCAAGCAATATTGAAATGCAATATAACAAAACATAGCTAAATACAAGAATAAACATGTATCATACAACACACTATGATGCAATATAGTGCAGTATAGCACAGTATCATATAACATTATATGATATACAATACAACCAAAAACAAAACGTCTAAGATGAAACAAGATTTTTCATTTTGTGTTATGCGATGTTATGATATGTGAATGCTGCGCTTTGGTCTGTTAGGTTTTGCTACGCCATGCTATGCCATGCATGTAGAATCATGTTAATCATGTTATGTTCAGCTTGTGCTGTGCCACGTTATGTTATGCTGTATTATGACATGGTGAACAAATTAAGTATAGGATACCATTGTTTTGACTGTCGTTGCTCCCCTCCCTCGCAGCCCGGGCCTCACAAGCCCGCAACGCGGCACCGTAGGAGACGACATTGGCCGAAGTTTGCGGCCTAATCTCCGCACGAGGCTTCGTCGCAGGATCGGTTTTCGATTCGGAATCCAACCCCTACCCTCATGCCTTTGGGTCTCGGAGCTTTCCGAGAATAACTCCCGATCTAGGTCCCAGATCCCCTTTTAGGGTTCTGGTTTTTTGGTGCCTTCAGGATTGACTTTAACAGGTTGGGTTTAGCAAGTCTATATTAGGCCGCTTGACATTGAAGGGCGACTGGACATGTCAGACAGCACGAGTGTGTGTGTGTGTGTGTCCACGAACAACCAAATTGAAATCGTTCGACAAGGCCCGCAACAAACGAGAGAGAAGTGCAGCCTGCATCACTGAAGGCAGAAGGAGACACACGTCGGTCGAACAGGCGAAGCCTTGTGATACCGCTGTTCCGTGCCCCCAATCACCCAAAGCCTTTGAAGCACTATAAAGCCCTACAGGAACCCCTCTGCTAACCCATCGCGCATCAGAGCGGCAGAGCTCGCCTGTGCATCTGCGCCAACAGCCTCGGCCCAAGTCGTTTTGGGCTGGAGGGTTTGGGCCTAAACCCTGAACCTGAAACCTTAGCCATATGCCACCCTAAACCCTTTATGCTAGTAAGAGGCTGGGCCCCAGAGGGGCTCCTTGCATGGAGTCTTCACGTCCGACGAGCTCAGGCCACAAAATTCAAGGCTTCATTCAGGGGTCACTGCCGACTACTCCGTCGTTGGGGTTAGTCCGAGGTTCGGCATGGAGGGTTCAGGCATGAAATCACAGACTAAGCTGTCAGGAATCTCAACTCCAGGATTTTTTGGCTTGGAAAGCTATATCAGGCTATAATCCACAGCCGCAAACATCTTGTACTCTTTGAGGTACCTTTGCACTTCTACTTAGCAACCAAACTGAACCAAGAACAGTTCCTGCAAGAAGCTTCAACCCAAAGCCTCGGGATCTCCCGATGGAAGCTCAAGGCCACAGGGTCCAGGGGGTTCATAGCCGTCGCAGCTTCAGGCTTTCGAAGGCAGGGTCTGGAACTGGGCTGCAAGTGCCAGGAAGCTGAACCGCCAGCTGCCAGAGGCGGCCGTGCGCGCAGGCGTCGATGGAAGCCTTATGGGAGAGGCCTTGAAAATGGTTTCAGCAGCTTGCAGGAGGTCAAGGTTCACGTGTGATTCGCGGAGTTTTTGCCAGTTTTGTTCCAAGACGTTTACTCCAATCTTACCATCGACTTGTTCAAAAAAAACGTAACATTGTCATGAGCCAGGCTGTCACGTTTTGCATGGGATGCTTCACGGCATGTTACAATGTTCCAAACGGTTGAGGCTTCATTACTGAGACCGCAGTAAGGTACTCTCGCCAGTATTTGGGTAGTTCTCTGAAATAGGGTCCCGTATAAATAAACAATAAACCCCAAGGGACCCTAGTTTCGACAACTACCCAATTTGCAGGCGATACCTCAAACAATACTACCAGGACATGCTTTGACGATTGCAGCGGTGTGGGGTTTGAGGTGCAGGGTGCTCGGACTAGAGCCCTTCTTGGGACCTAGTTGGTTGGGATATTCAACCTGAAACAGCTGTGGATAGAAAGCTGGAACCCTAGCGTGTCGGAAATCTTCGCAAGCCCGCAGATTTCGAGTCCACACCTTTACCTCCAGAGCAGATAGGAGGCTGCAGGTTTGGACAGAACTCTTCTGGCACAGAGGCATCAATCACCCGAAGCTCCCGGAGGCCAAAGCTGGGGGTTTGGGGAGGTTGTAAAGACTGTAAGTATACTGCATGTGTTGCAGAACTCTCTAAATCAATTCTCTTTTCTGAATTCTGTGAGGGTTGTAGGCCTTGGGGCTTACAGCTTCGGGCATTCGAATCAAGTTTATGTACTGTTTCGGATGTTGGGGGTGTAGCTCTGATCATTTTTTTGACAGAGGGTCCAAGTTGCATTCTTATATACAGCCCAAGTCATATGAAAGCTCAGTCTCCGAGTAGATGACGACGTCGGGCTCTTGCATGGTCCCTTTCGCAAAGGGTTTGGGCTGTCAGGCTCAACGCGGGTCCAATCTTCAAGCCTCAAAATGTTGCGCTCCTGCGGCTCTGAATTTCAGGCTTTTAGGATTTAGGGTTCAGTTCAAGGTTCGGCGACAGTGCTTGTGGGCTCTGAAGGCTACTCTAGGAGCATACTTCCCAGGCTCAAGTTCACGACTTGAACTTGGGTTTTGGTGAATCCCTGTGCTTCTCAAGTGTAGCCCCAAGTCTTTGTGAGGATTGCTGGTCCAAGCATCCGACCCCCCCGGGAATTCTTCAGCCTTCGCAACCTATGAGGCCCATTCATCTGAACGGAAGCGAAGACAGTCTCAGAATCTCGGAAGGTATTTGACAGAACGTTCCCCTATCCTGTGAATGCCATGAAGAGCGCTCCCACACCCCGAGCTCTGAACCCTAGTCAAGCCCCGAACTCTAAGATTCTAAGACTCTAAGCCCTGCAAGGGTCGCTGTCTGGACCTTCCAAAGTCGCCATCAGTGCCATGGCTTGCTCCCAGCAGGTGCTCTTGCCGCAGGCACCTCTCGGTTCGCCAAGCATGGCTCCATTTCACGGTTACGGGGCTTAAGGTGTGTAATGGGGCGCCCTAGCAAAAAACCGTCTGCATCTGTTGGTTCTGCGCCTGAAGCACCCAATCCCGCTAAATCGATCAGCATAATTGGTTGGCAGTGATCCACTGACCAAGTGACTAAGCAGGTGTGCAAAAAGAAGTAAGTGTGTGCTACCACGGCAAGAGGCTTGGGTTTATGTAGCTTCTTGACCAAGGCAGGCAGGTTGTACACTAGAACGCATACCCAGTGTCAACCCTGAACCCTGAACCCTAAAATGGAAGCTCCATGTCTAGCAGATTGCAGTGCTAGCTGCTGCATGCTTAACAGAACCAACTAACGCCGAGGCACCTCTCGGGCGTGGTTCTACATTCGGCACCCAATTTACAGCACTCACTCAAGTTTAGATCATTGGGTCGACGAGCGTTTCAGGTCCGCCGTTTCGGGCGAAACTCAATTCCGACCCTAAGGGGCGTTGCTGGGGATTCCGCGCCTCTAAACCTTGATATGCTGCCCCCATCGCATCGAAAATGGGAGCTGAAATGCAACCGCCCCCCAGCTTGAAACGCACAACTCTATATACTCCATCCTACTGAGCTCAGCAAGGTAAAGAACCATGTACACTCCACTGTTGATGTCTTTGAAAGAACTTATAGGCCTAGGCAGATTCTCAGATTCCCGTCTGTGCTACTTCGTACGTCCAAAAGCAAGCTAGGATCGAGTATTGCTGGATCTGACTATGCAACCAGACGCCGATCCTTCTGGTCGTGAGCTCTGAACATCACCCAAGCAAACCACAGCTTCATGGAAATTCCAATAATATCACCGCGGTCCCTACGGGCCCTACATCATCAGATATCCTACAGCCCGATAGAACTACAACACGTCTGCAGATCAAAGGGTAAGACAGCCGAGACACTGATCGCCGCGCCGGCAGACTTTAGGTCCCACTGAACACTATCGTGCCACATGGCCTTACAAGCAAGGCTTTGGGATTGGAGTCGCACCCAGGTCTGAATGCGAAACCTAAATGACGTCAGCTGTAATGCTGCAAGCACCAGTGCAGGATGCATTACCAAACCTTCGACTCCTCAATTCTTGAGCACGGAAAACTGATCCCTGCTTCGTAGCCACGGATACCAAGAATACCTCAAATCACGGCATTGTAATCGCATCTATCAGGCCGTCTAGCAACTTTACACACGGGATTCAATCACCAGTAGCCGCAGTAGCCTTCACAAAACCACGGCTGTGCCACACTGGCACCGGCCTGCAAAGTAGCCAAGGCAGCCCTCCATTGACGCTCGCGGCCATGCGCCGCAATGACGGAGCCTTGTGGATGAAGTTCAGGATTCAGGGTGCGGAGCTACAGGGCATTCCAGAAACCTTTCACTGGGCTGGGGATAAAGGGCCTCTGGGGCCTTTCTCCTAGGGTTCACGGCTCCCGCTTTGCAAACGCATGTTTGATGCACAGGGCTTTCCGGATTCTGCGATGGTTGGGCCTTTCTAGTCGGCCTGATTTCGCACTGTAGATTTGGCACTTGAGCATTCGTTGGATTCATGGCACTTGTTGTACACTCTAGATACGGGCTCCATATACACACAGGAACGTAGCCAGCAAGCCCCGAAGCCAATAGTTTCTGAAACGATCAACCCCAAGCCCAAGCCGTGCAGCCCCTGCAAGACCTGCTACTGCACGGCTTCTGGAGCTAGAGACGGCTGGCAAAACTGGGGATCATGGCTTAGGGCATGTATCAACACTACAAGAAGAAGCGAGAAAAGGGACCAGGCCAAGTCACCATAGGTGACGGCATCGGCCTGTCAAGTTCGCAAGGTTGTGAAGTCGTATCTAGTGCTTGATTCTTAAGGCAAAAGCTGCAGGCCGTCGTTTTGAGGCTGGTGCGGCTAATGGATGTGCCAAGTATACCTTCTCGCCTCCCTGTCCCACGCTTCTCTTAATGACTGCTCGCGTGCAGCGATATACCAAGACCGAGTATGGCCGGGAGGTCAGGGCACGACCGGCAGAGAGAAGTCTGATAGCTAGTGACTGGTGTTTCAGTGAATCCAAATCATTACCGGCACACCTTGGTGGACCTTCTACTCCGAAAGTTATATAAGTTTCGTTGCGAGCACGACCGGCAGATTATGCAAATTCGTTTGTGCTGCAGCTTCTTTGCTTGAGATAGACTCTGAAGATCCCAATGCGAAGTCGTGAAACTACGAAGTGGAAGGAGCCCTGGAAGCTCCTGAAGTCGTTGGTGCCGCAGCTCGTCCATCAATGCAGCAGCATGGGTTGAATCACAGGCATTGATGACAACCTGGATGTCTAAGGCATGGAGCTGTAGGACAGTGTGTAATTGGGATGATGGCTATAGGCTTTTGCATTGGCTCCAGCATTCTCTGCTGGGATCTTCACAGGCCCCCTAACCTCCAAGGCCAGGGCTCCGGTCTCTGCCAGAGGAGCTACGTGATGTGCTAAGCATAAGTTCGGAAACTCGGAGAGTCCGACTTGTCCACAACCTTTGGGACCAGTGCACTCATACATGAGCCCAAAACCTCTAAACAGCAACCTTGAGATTCAAGACCGGTCCCAGGGGCATTGTAAGTAACGACACTCGGAGTCGACCCCAGCCGCTGCATCTCGCACAGCTGCCACAGTGCTTCCTGCCGCGGTGAGAAAGAATCGGATTTGGATAGATTGCCTGGCGAAGGCTCTGAGAGAGCGTTAAGCCAAACTCGTGAGCCTCTCTGAAGGGACCCATAGCATGGCAACTTGAGGAGCATGCGGATCCCACAAATCCAAAGCATGGTGTAACGCAGTATCAACTTGTCGAAAAGTCTTGTCTCCCGGTACGAAGTCAACATGAACATACAGACAAGAACCATACCAGAATTAATGACATCATCGTCAACAAATGATCGAGACCTTCTTCGCCATCACCTACTGTACTCCGACGCTTTGAAACATAAACCATCTTTTCCACATTCTCAACTCGTCAGCCAACACACTCTACACCCTAAATCCTGCACTACACCGGCCCGAAGCCTCAAACTCAAAACCGATATCCAACCCTTAAGCCCCAAACCTACAGCGTCACACAATTGAGATAAGGTCTAGAGTCGAGACCATGAAAGCCCCTACCGCCTCAAAGCCTGAGGAATCCTATAAACCTGGAAAGCCCCTGAGAACCCAAACCCTCCAGACTGCACACCCATAAGCCCTACAGCCCTACACATGAAACCCCTAATCCCACAAGTCTACCCCGCTCCTGCCAGCGGCCATGCTTCCCCAGCTCCCGGAGCCGCTTTGTGGCATCCTGAGCTTCTTTCTGGGAGCTTTGGGATTCATAGGGCTGCGAGGGCTTAGGCTTGCAGGGCTTATGGACTTATGGGGCTAAGGCTATGTAGAGACTTATGTAGGCTTGTGGCTATGTTCTGGTTCCTTGCTTCTTGTGGGATCAGTGAGGGATGGGACTCGGCGTTGAATTAGGGATGTTTAGGGGCATGCTGCGGCTATATTCACCAAAGCATTCTGACCAAGTACCGTTGGTGACTTTAAGATTCTCATGACGACGAAGAGAGTCGTACTGTACCTGCTGTATATTGTACTCTTTCTACGCTGGGTGGATCTTGTCAAGGCGACAGCTTGGAGCTTTCCAGCACTTGCCTGGGAGTTCCCGGAGTTTGGAGCTCCAGAATACGGGGATCTAGAGAATCTCTGGATGGTTTATGAACCCCTCCGTGTGTTCGGGCGCAGGGTCTTGTTTGCTTCAAGGTCTTGAACCCTGAAGGCTCTAAACCCTAAAATGACTAACCGCTGGGAAAGAAATTCCGAAAACTTGAATGCAGTATGAGCAGTCTTCCAGCTAGGATTCCGGGCTCAAAAATTTCGGAGCTGAGGACAAAGAATAGCCCATTACGTTGCTGGTTCGTAAAGATCCTCACTCATTGGAATCGGCCCCAAAGTAGCCCAAAGACCAGAGGTCACGGATTCACTGCCACCGATACGGCTTGCGACCCTGTAATAGGGGAAGGTCATGGCTTTTCTGGGGCAGCTTTTTCAGGGGTTTATGGCTCCGGACTCTTGGATTAAAGGTTTGGGATTCATGGTCGCATGAAGTTCAAGCACTAGGGCTGGCAGTTTGGGGGATAGCGTTCCGAGGGGCCCGCAGCCGGTGCTCGGCAAGCGCTGCCGCTTGCGCAGCCCGGCCACGCATGAACGGCCATGGCTTGGAGTTTCGAAGCGCGCTCCCTGCAAAAAGGAGGAAAAACCCGAACGCCCAAAACTCCCGAAGGGATGAAACTTCCAAGCCCTAAGTAAACAGCAGACCCGACAGCCTGGGAAACTGTAAAGGTCATGCCGATGGTGAGCCCTCAGCTCCGACTAGCCATCACGATCGATGCAACGAACACGTGCCTCCCAATCATGTGAGAAGGACTGTTCGTGTGTTGTTGCACATGCAAGACACACATACACACACACAGACCTGTTTCTACACTAGGTGCTCATCTACTCCATGAGTCCCGGCTGCCTTCGAGATGTGTGGGCAAAGGTAGTAGTCCTGCAGGCAGGGTGTCAAAGCCTGAGGCCTCAGCATTGAAGCCTCCGATGCTACATCGTCTAGGTGGCCAGGAATGAGATGGCCTGAACCCGACAAACGATGTAGGGCAAAGGAATTCAAGGTCTAGGCTCGAGGCGGGCTGTGGGGCCACTCCTGAGCACTGGCCCAGCACGACAGCCCTGCCCGTTGAAATCATTCGAGGCTGGTCCCGAACTCCTCCACTCCCACGGTTGGCCGTTTGTACGGTGCCCAATTTAGAGGGGTTTGGGGAGCAAGAGAGAAAGACACAAAATGATCAGGGGTAGGTCTAGGGAAGTCTTTCCTTCTTTCTGAAACTCCTTTTTGCACCTGCTTCGTTGTGTTTCGAGTTTTGGTACATCGCGGGAAAGAAGAGCCATGGAAGGGACGAAGACGCCGTGCCCTGAGCCCACAACTTCACCGATTCAATTCCCACCCCCGATCCCAAAGCCAAACGAAAACACGGCTGACGCCCCAAAATGCAACCCGTCCTCCGGTGGCGGCTGCACGGCCAAGCAGGAGGTCAAGACAGGCTCAGCCTCGCAGAGGATGTCGCAGGAGACCTCCCGCTCAGATTCAGCAGCTTTGCGTGTGCAACCAGGCCTGGGGCCTATACGGATTTGGAAACGTCTGAAGGGTTTAGGCGTCAGGTCCAGGGTCTACGGCCAGGGGTCATTCTCAACAGATTCCGGCTGAGGGCTTCAGGGGATCGAGAGAAGGGCCTATATCATTACACTGTCAGATGCGGGTTGTACGGAGATCACGTGCTAGAAAGTGTAGGGGATTCGGATATCGCATTATGTGTATGTACATGTGTATGTTGTGCGCAGCATGTTGGACTACTAAGCCTAAGCCCTAAACTTGCGACACTCAACCCATAACGCTGCAATATCAGTCCTAAACGCGCAGCCCAAACTACCTTGAGCAGGCGAGCGTGACTCTGCATTGTATCTGGCACGGACATTGCCGGGTCCTTACCTCCCAAAAAGCTTATCGGAACCGGACAAACTCTGCCGAGCTGAGTACTGAACTTTCGGTCAAAAGCCGAAACAAGCGTCACCGCATGCTACGTCTCCGTTCTGGGACGACGGCTGGGCCGTTTGCGTTGCGGCAAGCCCCCCCGCCCTCGTAGCACCTCCGAAAACATCACATGGGCATTGACATCCAGTCTCCATGTTCCTAGGCCCTACGAAAACCGGGTCACCCCTCGACCCTAAACTGGCAACGGTGCTTTCTGAAACCCCACTCTTGCATCGGAGAGGGCTTAGGGTCGGTTTCGAGCTTTCGGGCCTAATTAGGGCTTTTCTCTTTGCGAGGTCCGGAGGGTTCGGATTGCAAGGTTTCAAGTTTGCGGGCTCAGGGTTTCAGTTCTGGGCTTTCGGAGCAACCAAGGCTCTAGAACAAGCTGTCCTCACCTCACCTGTACACGTTGCACTCTTAACTAAGTCTTGTATCCCTGTAACCCCAAAGCCCAGCTCGGAATCCCTGCAGTCATAGTCCGTGTTTTGGAGCCAAACGGAGGACGATATAGCAAAAACACGAGACATCTTCAGTGTAAGAAACCTCACGCTACACCCAAAGCCCGACAGCCTAAACCCCTGGCCCCATCAACAAAGACAAAAATCTGGTGACCTGAACCCAGGAACGCCTGAGCCTGAGCATACTCATACAGGCAATTATGACCTTTGAGTCGTAATAGTGGTGATGTGTGCTCCAGGATACTTTGCTACCAGCAATCGTGCGTAAGAAACGGTAAATAACGGGCAAGAAAGATACCGACAAAACTCCAAAACAGCCTCAAGACCTAACCTTCTAATTGCCAAGCCCGTGGCCCCTCAGTCAGCATGCAGGTGTAGAAAATGCGCCGGTACTGGCACCTGAGGAACCCAAAGGGGCATCCCTGACAGGTATGTAGGGCGTTCGGCAGAGCTCGGGCTTCAGGGTGCTTGGAATGGCACAATGACGGTGTGCAATACTGTCCATTCAGTGAGGGTGTGGAAACTGGAAGTGTCGCCGCCCATCCTGATACTGAGCGAAGGAACCTAGCCCCAACTACCGATCAAGCAAAGTTCTTATACTCTCAAGTCGCACCTGTCCCCACAAAGAGGAGCGCAAAAGCCACACTATGAATCGACCAATGCTCCAGACGAAACTTCAAAAAGAGGATCCTGGTCGAACGGGGGGTCGAGCGACCCCTTGTCGCAATCTCAGAACCCTCCAACATCTAGTCCGTAACTCTTCAGCTCTGGAACAACAAAATCCTGAGCATGCCGAACCACCAAAAGTCAGATCACAGCTGAGCGAGCGCACTCCGTGGCCCCTGTAGCGATGGAGATCCTCTCCACCTACCAAAGAGGCAGGGCTTTTCACCTGGTTCTGATGACACTAGACAGGCTCAGACAAGGTTCTGTTCGGCCAAGCTGTTGATAAGGGTTCTACTGTCGCCATTAAGGCCCTGTAAGGGTTCAGAGCTGAGGCTGTAGTGGGGGAATAGGAAATGGTCCTGCCGGGGTACACGGCTTGGAATTCCCGATGCAAGGCCAGTATTCGAACCGGACCACACAAAGCAGAAGGCCGCAATCACAAAACACTCGACCTGCCAGATTCCAAACGCATACTCCATCCAACTTGTCTCACCTGAAGCGCGGCCACATGGCAGGTGTGGAGCCGACCCAACCCACCCTCAACCTAAACAATCAGGCGAGATCGGCAACCGATCAGATCAAAACACCTACCGTAAGAAGCTAGATCTCTCAAAACTCAACCATAGAAGCCGCAAGGACGGATGATGGCCTGCTCGCACTTGGACCTGGCTGACTCTGCATCCGAGCAGGCCTGGAAGGTCCCGAAGAAGTTGAAGACTGGTTTGGGGACATAGTGACATAAGCCGTGCATTTTGTGGGCTCAGGGTGGTGCATGCTTTTCGGCAGGGTTGCATCTCTCGCTGCAGGCTTCGCTTGAAGCTCGGCCTCTGTCAGGCACGGGTTAGGGTTTCGGGGTCGTTACCGTTGCCACTCAAAGTAATCTGTGGCTCCAAAGGCGGGCTCATTGAACTTGAGATTAGGAGATGCCTCAGGCACCAGGCCAAGTGGGGTTCGGCCTTCGCCCTGCGGATGTTTCCAAATTGAACGCTGAAGATTGAGTAATTCACTTCCTGATCACCCTTCGTGAGCTTGACGGATTTACTTCCAGGAGTCTTGCCCATTTGCCCCGCGAAAGAAATGCCTACTGCTAAACACAGAAGCAAAAAAACAACATTTAGCAAGGCCCTACTGGATCTGGGTGGACAAGCGTTCACTCCAAGGTTTAGTTGCTTGGTGCTGCATCTGCTCAACTCCGTCTCAAGAGCGATGCTTGGGCGCCGGCGCTCTGTGCGTTGCATTGATCGGCCTGCTCATGCATACATCCATACGTTCATACAGTCATACACATAGACAGATAGACAGAGAGACAGACTCAGACAGACTCAGACAGACAGACAGACAGACAGACAGAAAGACAGGCGGGCAGGCAGGCAGGCAGGCGGACTCAGACAGACAGGCAAGCAGGCAGGCAGACAAACGGACAACTACATGACACGCACACATGCATACATGCATGCCTACATGCACACATGCCTCCATGCATACATGCATGCATAATACATAGCATGCATACATACGTACATACATACATACATACATACGTACATGCATAAATA